ATAAGTTACATAACAAGTAACGAGGTTTTGCATTGTTTTGGTTTTAGGTCGAAAGTTGTCCACGGGACGAGAGTTTCAGCAATGACTACAAGGTACTGATATCAGCATGTGAACATTTATTTGGTTATTATAATTTTTTCGGAGGTTTTCTGGAGCTTAAAATGGCTAGTTACAATAACTCAACATATGCACCTGAAGAAATATTTCTCTTGGTTAATTAATACCTTGTATGTTTGAGTACCATTTCGCTACGACTTTTTTACGACGGTTCCTTGATTTGAGAAATCTCTCCGTAATTAAGTGATCGATTTCTTACTACGAAAAAGTTCTTTCCCGTATTCTGCTATTTAAATTCAAATTACTTCTTTTGAAACAAGGTCCCTTTTATTCAGTGAGTTCTCAAGATCTCGGTGCACTGGACACATTTACTTTCTTTCGGTAAAGTGTACATTGTTCTAAGTTTGACGTAGGTCCTAAAAGCGAAGAAAATTAAACAAACAACATTGAACAAAACAATATGAGTTGTTAAAAATTAAAAAATTAAATGAAGAGGTAGACAATACCTGTTAATTATATTCATAATGATTTACAGATTAAGCGAAGTTTAGGGTTACAATAAAAATATTCCCACCCCACTTATAATTCTTTATTACTTTTCAGTGATTGAGTGAAGGTAAATACAACATATTGGAGATAGTGCTTATTGCTAAACACCTTGATTCTCAGAGAGTCGACTCAACTTCTCCTTTACCTGTGTGATTTACTTGCATGTTTTCATAGTCAGATAATTTGAGAATCATAATTTGAAAAAAAATAGCAAACATTTCCTTTATCTCTTTCGTTATTACTTCTTGTATCCCCTTCACTATTTTCATAAATTACAAATAAGGATTAGAATTTGATCCTGTTATTGAGCATGTTTTTGCGGTTTCTCCTCTATAGTGGAATATCCAGCAGACCAAGTACAAGTTGGCTGTGAAGTGTAAGCTTGCAAAACTAACTTCTGATCCCTGGGAAACATTAGATGACATGAGCAATCTCTACAAGGGCAGCCTTAACTTGCCTTATGTAAGTTCATCTTACCTTGTATTAGAAATGAATGAAGAAAAATTGAATTTTAATTTTTTTCAATTTGATCATAATTTTATTTATTTATTTTCCTAATACTTGCTCTCCATCTATGCGATGATTCTTAGCAAGAAATACCCACCCATCCCACCCTAGGGGAGGACATCCATCAC